AAGGAGATTGCCTCGGAAACAGCGTCAGCATGAATGTTCCAGTAGAGCCAATCGACAGCTGGTCAAGAGGGATCCGCCGTCGTCTTCTGGTGAAACCGACCTTCGAATCTCTTCACGCACAACTTTCACTGGAAATGGAAGTGAGCTCAACAATTTTGAAACAAGAAATTCCTCAAAACCCAACGTTTCTTCACCAATTTTTCCAACCAGCTTTTCCCAAAAAATTAAAAGTCATGTCATAATAAACGGAATAGACCTCGAAAGCTCGCCTTCTATTGCATTTTGGAGAGTAAAAAAACAAAGGAGTACTGCAAATAAGCCAAAGAGCTCCCAGATGCAGTCTACAGAATGGCTAAAACTTGAGCTATTAATAAGAAAATGTAAAGGACGAAAAAGACCGAACGAATATTTGGAAGGGAAAACGAAGCAAAAATCGTGCCATCTCTGAATATTGTCAACTTTCTTCGAACAAGTATCAAACAAAATCATATCCCAAATTCACATGCCTCCTCGAGCCCGCCCTAGGACGTAAACAGTAGGACTGATTGAATGCCAGCACTGCTCTACTCACACGCATAGGCACACTTTATCATTTTGGTGTGAATTCAAGCTCCCACTCGCCACTCCTTCTGCCGGGCCACAGACCTGCAAACATGCCGTCGAAAGACGTTAACCCTCGTCCCGAAACTCACACTCACTCAGCTCCCAACTCCCAACCTGCAACTACACCCAAATCCCCCTCCACTGGCAGGCCCGTGAATGGTTGTCTCATCGCCGAGGTATGACTCACTCTCGGCCTGTCACTCTACCTAAAGTCGACCTTACCTCGCATATGAATCACACACAGATGCGCACATGAATGCATACGCCTACTTGTTGATAGACCGACACATGCATACACGTACACATGCACCGGTAGACCCAACTGGCTCGTCAAGTCGATGGGCGTATCACTGAGCTGACGCAGAGACTCATGTAGAATTGGCCACGGGGAGGAGACGAGCATGTGGACACGGGTGAAGCTGAATGTGGCCGGGTGATCCCATTCCCCTCGTCTTCTCCCCGACCCTCTGTCAGGGTCTGGGACTCCTTCGTTAAGACAAATCGGCGGCGAGTCAGCCCTTCAAGGAGATCTCATGACCAGATAGCCTCTCGCGAGGTGACCTTTGGGGTGAACTTTCCATTCGTCCAGCATACAGCTTCGCAGCCAAGGCACATGCCAACGCCCCACCCGAGGCGACGATCGCCCCATTCGGCTCTGTTGGGCAAACTTTTCCGGCTCCAAATGCCCCAACTGCACCAAAACACCAACTGCTTTCTCCATCGTCTCGTCGGCTGGGCAATTCACAGTGTTGTCTTCCTACCAGTTATGCTCAGAGGGGGATCAGAGTGAAACAGTCCCACGAAGTCCACGAGGCAGCTCGGCTATCAGAACTTTTACCAACTCCTCTGCCCGCGAAAAGTGTACAAGTTGGTACTGCCCCAGACAAATGGTCTGGCTGAAGCAGAGCTAAGGGGACAACAAACCGGCAAGTGATGACCATCTCACGAGGACCGTGACTTTGTTGGTGGTACCTTTCTGTCTCTAGGTGGTCTAGTTACTCGAGCAGACAGAAGCATGTGTCGTGAGCATTCCCCGAAGAGCCACAGTTTCATACCTCAGACACCCGACCAACATTGCATAATAGAAGTAAAGGTAAAGGCCTTGACTTATCATTGTTGGCTTGATGTGAAATCGTGCACATGCAGGCACAGTCTCAAACACAAACAGAAATATGCTCATGCTTATCGACTGACATGATATGGGTTGATCAAACAGGCGGCAACACCATCCCTACGCAACCAGACCAATAGTTATATGAGATATATTAATCATATTTGGATTAAGGAGGTGAACGACTTGTAGTCGAACTTTATATTCATATCATTGTGGGAAAATTCTAGTACCAGTCCTTCATAACCTTAGACGAAATAGGGTGAATACATCTCATACAACCAATTAACTGGTAGTCTCGAAGCCCCAGCTATGAACGAAATCCAATAGTGCCATTCAATCACGAGGCAGATGTGGCATTGAAGACAGGCAAATTTACACTCTTATAATGTGACGGGTGTCACTAAAGCCGATTTGTATTCATCTATTTCATACCATTACATTATTACTAACAAAATGAGTAGTATTCGAATTCATTCCACAGGATGTGTCAAAAAGCCGATTTGTATTCTTCTATTTCATACAATTAGAATACGATTAACAAAATGAGTAGTATTCGAATCAATTCCACAGGATGTATCACTAAAGCCTATTTGTATTCTTCTATTTCATACAATTACATTACTACTAACAAAATGAGTAGTATTCGAATCCATTCCACAGGATGTGTCACTAAAGCCAATTTGTATTCTTCTATTTCATACAATTACATTACTACGAACAAAATGAGTAGTATTCGAATCAATTCCACAGGATGTGTCACTAAAGCCAATTTGTATTCTTCTATTTCATACAATTACATTACTACGAACAAAATGAGTAGTATTCGAATCCATTCCATGAGATGTGAAAGTGAGGTCAGACCAACACCATACAGCTAAAGACGACCGCGACCAAACAGATAGCCACAGCATCTATACCTCATCAGAATGGCACAAATTCATAGTATGCATAGAGCCATTAAGAATGAGGTGGTGAGTATTCTTCAGTCCTCAGCTTGAAAATGGTTGAATAAATGACACCCTGCTCTGATGATTTGCGCCGCATGACGGACGAGAGCTTGGCACATTTTCACCGAAATCTGGTCTTCATTCTCCAACCTCGTGCGACTCACGTGCATTGTATGCACACAAAACACATGTAAACTAACGCATTTGTGTGTCACCATTGCAGAAGCTAAAAGATATACGAGATTTAGGGCAAGTTGCAGCCGTTCGTTCACTTTATGCTCCCTCACATGTCACCTGTAAAAGCTTCACTCTTCAGCAAGGATGTAGGGAA